AGCCTCCCAGATGAGTCTGGAGTCACCCCCCTTTTCTCCGCCTCCACCCCCATTCCAGCAGCCACCACCTGGGATCAAGGCTGCAACTCCCCACTCACTGCCTCCTCCCCAGGTGCCTTTCAGAATCCCAGATTGGCCGGGCTCGGTGGCTCAGCCTGTGTAATCCCGCACCTTTGAGAGGCTGAGGTGAGTGAATTACCTGAGCCCGCGGGTTCAAGACCCGCCTGGGCAACTTGGCAAGACCTCATCTCTACAATAAATCAAAAATTAGCTGGGCGTGGTAGCGCGCGCCTGTAGTTCCGGCTACTCGGAAGGCTGAGGCGGAAGGATCGCCGGAGCCCAGCAGGTCGAGGCTGTGGTGGCTGGGAGCGTCCACTGCACTCCAGTCTGGGCGACAGAGTGAGACTCCAACTCAAAATAAATAAATAAATAAAATTAACAACAACTACAACAAAAGAATCCCAGATTGACTCTGGGTTTCCCAGTTCCAGGTGAGACCGTCAACGGCCCCCTCTGGCCCTTAGGTAAAACCTGAAGGCCCGAGCTCTGGCACCATGCTCTCTATACCGGCCCTACCTGCCTTTCTCCCTGCCCTTACACCTCTCCCTGGCTGCCCGCTTGCACCATGCCTGCCCTGACCCCAGTCTGTGCATGGGCTGTTCCAGTTGTTGGGAACAGAGTTCCTGCCTGTCTCCTTTGCCTGGTTCACATCCAGCGGTTCTTCAGAAGGTCTCCAGCACGTGGGGACTGAGGTGGGACCAGTGCCCCATGCATGCCACTGTTTGCCCCTTGGCTGTGAGCTCCTGGGTCAGGTGCCGAGCTGCCCATTGGATGTTTCAGCATCTGGAGCGTGTATGGGGTGGGGAGGGATGTTTAGGAAGCTGGAGAGAATGGTTGGCGTAGGATCAGGACCCAGGTCTCTATGAGTCCAAATATCACAGACATAGCCAGGTGCGGGGGGTCTCATCTGTAATCCCAGCACTTTGGGAGGCTGAGGCGGGAGGATCGCTTGAGCCCAGGAGTTCAAAACCAGCCTGAGCAACATAGCAAAATCTCATTTCTTTCTTTTTTTTTTTTTTCAGTTGGAGTCTCACTCTGTCGCCCAGACTGGAGTGCAGTGGCTGCAACCGGCCACCACAGCCTCGACCTGCTGGGTTCTGGCGATCCTTTCCGCCTCAGCCTTCCGAGTAGCCGGAATTACAGGCGCGCGCTACCACGCCCGGCTGAGCAAAACCTCGTTTCTACAAAAAAATTTAAAAGTTAGCTGGGGGTGATGGCATGCACCTGTAGTCCCAGCAACTCAGGAGGCTGAGCCATGAGGATCTCCTAAGCCCAGGAGGTTGAGGCTGTGGTGAGCCACGATCATTCCACTGTACTCCAGCCTGGGCGACAGAGTGAGACTCTGACTCAAAAATAAATAAATACCATGTGCTTCAGCCACTGTGCTTTGAGTCACAGCCCAGCGTGGGGATGCGAGCAGTGTCCCCTGAGACCTCAGTGTTCTTGCTCTGCAGTACAGGCTATTCACACCTGCTGTCTCCCTCCAGAAGGCAGGAGAGAGCCAGGGAGGGGGCTGGCAGACACACTGTGTCTCGATCTGCCAAGCTCTTCCTCTGGGTGGGCTGAAGTGTTCTCACAGAACCCGCAGAGTCACTCCTGTCGCCCCCGGTTTACAGCTGGGACCCAAAGACAGTGGCCCCAGGATTGGGGTTTCAGCCAGACAGCCCGGCCACCTGCCCAAGAGTTCTGTGCCACCGAGCAAGGCTGTGTTCAGACAGCGCCACTCTGGTTGTTAACATCACGCAAGAGAAATGTGAACTTGGCCCTGGTTGTGTTGGTTCGCATCACATCTGCCGTGCCAACACCAGCCAGCCTATCCCATGCGCCATGAGCCAATAGACACCATCCCGTGGGCAAGCACCCTTGTCAGCTGGGGGTGACTGTGAACCTTCCTCACCACGGATGCCCCTGCTGATGACTCGGTGCCGGCTGTGACCCACACACCGAGTCAAGATCTAACAGAAAGGGTGGTGAGTGACAGGGGTCACAGCCTCTTTGGAAAATGACGTGGCATCCTTGAGAAGTGCCCTGTGGCCAGTGTTACCACACTAGATGGGGGTGCTCGAAGTGGGCCCTGGGGCAGTAGCTTCGGCATGGCAGGGTAGAGCTAGGAATGCACGTTCCCAGGCCCGCCACAAGGTTGCACCGTCGACCCTTGCAGGGCCGCTGGCTACTCTCAAACAGGCCTTGGGGATGCTGATGCTTGGTGGTACTTCCGCACCAGTGGATGGGGGCATCTTTCACCCATGGGCACCAAGGACTGTGAACAGGGACCGCCAGAGAAGGTCTTTCAGTAACAACTGAGAGAAGAAAACACCTGAAAACCACCCAGTGTTTATCAGTGGAAGATTATAATAGTGACATTGTACTGTACTTACAGTATGGTAGTTAAAATCATAATATGTGGATCTCAAGTAAACATATGTGATATGTACATGAACACAGGAGAACTCATAAATGATGATAAACAAGACCAGGCATGGTGGCTCATGCCTGCCACTTTAGCAATTTTGGAGGCTGAGAAGGGAGGATCACATGAGCCCAGGCATTTAAAACCAGTCTGGGCAATATAGTGAGACCCCATCTCTATAAAAATATGAAACATTACCTGGGCATGCTGGCACCTGTAATCCCAGCTACTCAGGAGGCTGAGACAGGAGGATGGCTTGAGCCCAGGAGTTGGAGGCTGCAGTGAGCTGTGATC